GGCTCCTCCAAAGGGCTCGGGTCACTTCTGCTCTGCCCTTTGGATCACGCACAGCTCGTCTTCTAGGCTCTGGCTGATCCCACTCCACTTCTGCTACTGGTTTTGGTGGTTGTCTCACAGCACTAGCATCTCCAAAATGCTGGGCTCTTCTGCTACAACTTTGACCAAGAGCCACTCCTAGGCTTCTTTCATGGTGCCAAGCCTCAACTTCTCTCCAAGACCCCTTCGATTCTGGGGTTTCAATCACTATGGAGGCTATACCGTCTCCAATGGCGCATCCTGGCTTCTCACAGTGCTAAGCCTCAGCTGCTTGTCATGATCCTTCAAGCCTTCAAAACCAGTATCACCTGACTAACTCTTACACTAGCAAGTTCGGCTGCCAGCTGAAGTAGCAATGATGGTCATCTTTGGAACACAGCTTTTATGTGTGGACTCTGAAGAAATACTTCCCAGATTTCACCTCAATGATTCTGCACTCTGTTTCTGTGTTTCTGTGTCTCTCCCTGCCTGCCTTTCTCTTTCTCTCTCTCTCTCTCTCTTGGTTTTTCAAGATGGGGTTTCTTTTTGTAGCCCTGACTGTCCTGCAACTCACTGTGTAGAGCAGCTCAGTGATCTGCCTGCCTCTGCCTCCCAAGTGCTGGGATTAAAAGCACACACACACACACACCCCACAACTCTCCTTAATCACCACTAATTTCTCAGCTCCAGCTAACCAGCATCTATTGTCCCAGTAAAACATTGGTTTTTCTTTATTATTCTGGACTCATGTTAGTCACGCTGATTCTTCAGTCCCAGCTGACCAGAACCACAGATTCGTAACCAAAGTCCTGGTGGAGTTTTTCCTTCCTCTGGAGTGTCACAAGCCTGGTCTCCATCACCTGCACTGCTCTCAACAATCTCATCCTCCAAGCTCCCACAGAGCAGCCCACTGAGCTCTCAACACTCAGTGGCTTTTCTACCCAAAGTCCTTCCATTATCCTCCCCAAAACAACACCGTCACCCCACTCCTGATACCAACTTGTCTTAGGGCTACTATTGCTGTGATGAAACATCATGTCCAAAAACAACTTGGGATGAAAAGGGTTTCTCTGGCTTTTCCACATTGTAGTCCATCACTGAAGAAGTCAGGACAGGAACTCAAACAGGACAAGAACTTGGAGGCAGGAGCTGATGCAGAGGCCACAGAGGGGTGCTGCTTACTGGCTTGTTCCTCGTGGCTTTCTTAGCCTACTTTCTTACAGAACCTAGGACCACTAGCCAAGGACCACACCCACATGTGGGCAGGGACCTCCTACATCAATTTAAAAAATGCCCTACAAGTTTGCCTACAGAATCTTATGGAGATTCTCAATTGGGGTTCCATCCTTTCAGATGACGCTAGCTTGTGTCAAGTAGACGCAGAAATATCCAGCATATCTCCTTTCATGCCTGGCAGTCTTTCCTTCCCACCTAACACAAAATTTGCCAACTTGACTTTTTAGGGCAGCCAGGGACACTTGCTTGTTCATACACTCATTGTCCTACTTCCTCACAGTGTTCATCTCCCTACAGACACCGTGGTCACCAAGCACCTTCTGTTTCTGTGAATCTAACTTTGGGTGCCTCATATGAGTGAAACCACACAGTATTTTTTTTCTGACTGACTGATGTTGAGACCCAGGTTTTATCCTGTGTCAGAATTCCCTTTTCAGTCAAGACCTACTGTGTGCGTAGACTACACCTGTCCTTTATGTAACCAGTGGGCACTTGGGTTGTTTCACCTTTGTTCTGCTGGTGACCAATGGTGCTTAGATCCTGAGTGTACAACTGTCTTCAAGACCTGCATTCACCACTACAATGAAGTGTTGCCCTCACAAGCTATGGGCAAAACTTCGCCCTTTCTTCAAGTTACTTGTCAGGTGTTTTGTCCCAATGATGAGAGAAGTCATGAATACACATGGGTTAGCATTTTTCTGTTGCTAGTGACTTTCAATGCACAGTAAGTAATCCCCCACCCGAGGCTTACAATGCTGTCTCATTTCATGTCTTTGGTGTCATAAAAAAAAAAAAATGACTGTGAAATTCAAATAAGGTCTTCCTTTGTTTTCTTGTTTCATAGTTAGGTCTTCGATCCATCTTAGCCTTAATTGCATTTTTATTATTTTACTTCATGTGTGTTTTGCTTGCATGTATGTCTCTGTACCATGTGGAAGTCAGAAGGTATGATTCCCAGGAACTGCAGTTACAGATGGTTGAGTTACCATGTGGGTGCTGGGAATTAAACCTGGGTCCTCTGCAAGAGCAGCCAGTGCTCCTATCTGCTGAGCCATCTCTCTGGCCCCGTCAGCTGTTTATGCGGCCCTCCATCTATCCACATTTCTTTACTTGCATATATCCTCCAGTACCCGAGGGGTGCTGCCAAGGCACCCAGCCTTGTGAACTAAGCAGCCTCTGGGTTTTCAGCACCCTAGCACACAGGCAGCCTCTAGTAGAAACTGACTACCCAGTCCTCCTTGTGTGAGTCAGCTTGGTCGACCGTTTATGCTCCTTCTATGGGTCTGGTTCTGCTGGAGAACCCTGACAGCTACACAAGTAACCAATGCGCGTTGCACCTCGTTTCCTTATTATTCCCGAAAGTATTTGAGTGGATCCCTTTGGATTTCTGATACGTAAGATTGTAGCTACAAATGGAGATCCTTTTACTTCTCAACCATGAATGGCTTTCATTTCTTCTTACCTGATTTCCTGGCTAGAATTTCTAGTAGTATGTTGACTAGACCTCAGATCACCAGGCATCATGCTCAGTGCCTGTTCATTTATGACCTTGTTAGGTTTTTTTTTTCTCCTCTTCCTCATTTGCTGACTGCCAGAAAGCGCTGAATTTTGTAAACTGAGTTTTCCTTATCAGAGATGATCAGATTAAGTGATCTGGAGGAGGTGAGTCTGCGGGTTTGAGTTAAGTGTGAAGGAAACTATGGAGTCAGCAAAGCTGTAATACCAGTGACTTCTTGTTGTTGTGTTTACAGCGGTCTGTGTCCTTCATTTTGGTTCCCGGCCACTGCTCAGTCTTCTTAATCTGATGGGCTGTCGTGAGCACTGACTACCGACCAGACACAGGAGGGACAAACCCTCTCATCTTTGAATTGAGGATGACTTCATTTCTCTCCTTTAAAAAAATTTTTTTTTTTTAGGAGAGGGGAGTCTGAATCGAAGCACAGTCTTAACTCTGTGGGCTAGCCTACTATATGAAATTGAAAATCAGTTTTTAAAGTCTTTAAAACTTAATATTATACATGTAGATGTACTGGGGGAGAATACTCGTGGTCGGAAGACAACTCCTGTCAGTTCTCTACATAGATCCCAGGGACTGAACTCAGGTCGCCAAGCTCACGCAAGTACATTGCAGTCTAAGGCACCTCGCCTGCCTAACAGGATTCTTTTTCCGGCCCCGACATAGTATTATTATTTGGGAATTTTGTCCAATGCACCTGAGCACACATGCTTCCCATAAAATACACCAAATCTAATTTGTATTGCCCATATACTCACTGGAGCATGGTCAAACTCCCATTAGCTAGTTCTTAGAAAACTATGCCTGCCCCCCCCCCCCCGACACACACACACGCCCCCATCCCAGCGGAAGCCATCAACTGTGAAGAGCTACACTTCAGCATCCCTCTCAGTTTTAAAGGACACTTTCCAATAGTTTCCCTGACAGGATTCTTGATGAATGCCCCCTCACCCCTCGCTCTTTCTAGTGTTTGGGCTTATCTCGTGGCCCTGCAGATGACAACTCTGGATGCTAAGTGCACACATGTGGCTTTTCCCTCTTTTGCTTTCAACAATTCCTTTCAGAGGCCTAGTGAAAAATGTGCCGAGTACATATCCGCGTTTACTCGGAATTCTTTTCTGTGATGCGTAGTCAGGTGGCCTTTCCTTGCGTGGTGAGTCTTCAGTGGCTATCCTTCCACGCCCTCTGCTCTTTCTCCTCTGCAGATGAGGGTGTTTGTGCCACATTCCTCAGATCTTGTTCTCCTCAGACTCCAGAACTGTTGTCAAATCTGTCAGTTAGGTCTCACACTGTGTATTTCTTTCTGTCCACTTCTGTTCAGGACTTCTGACTGAAGGTTTCTCTTGACCGCTGCCTCCATGGTTTGTGAACCACTCTCCTGACACCTTCCCTCAGTTCTTTGAGCATCTCTGAGGTGACTATTTACGATCTTGTGTGGGATGTCAGTAACCACTCTCAGGGTGTCTGTTGATTTACCTCTTCTGTAAATGGAACACTTTTCGTTTTCTTCATGTCCTCTGTTGAAGACAGGACATTTAAATTTGCTCACAGTGGCCAGAAAAGTGAGTCCTATTTCCCAAGGTTTATTGCTGTTCCTGTTCTTATAGTTGCACGCTATCTGCATTTGGATGGATCAGCCTGAAACGGCACCTATGGGCCCTTTCAAGTCTCTTCTGTGCCTTTTCTTGAGCATGCCCAATAACCTTCCCAAACTGAAAGCCATTTTTTAATGTCTGAGTTTTCAATGTCTGGATTCCCAAAGGGGAAGAGAAAAATGGAGGGAAGGGTTGAGAAAGAAGATGCCAATCTAGTCGAAATCTAGTGATGTGGAAGCCATGGCCCAGCTTCAATGTTTGGCACCTATCTCAGACAGTCCTTAAGTAGCTACGTCTGGCAGGTTCTACCAGTACAGCTGTCAAGGAGCAAAGAGACTACTTGGTCTCCCACTCCTTGTTTTTCCAGAATGCTCAGTGTTATAGGTTTCCTGAAAGTCAAACCTACTAAGTGTGCCTCAACTTTCAGGACAGAGGGAAAAGGTCAAAGAACTAGCTTCTGTACTTGGGGGCACATATGCCCCCACTTCTGCTTCACCCTCCCTTCCCACGTCCTGCCCAGTCAAGGACTATCAGACATTCGAGGACTCTGCTCCTGGGCCGGCAACCGGCTTTCAACTTAGGGCAATCCAGAGTACCTGTGAGTACAGTCCTGAGTTACAGAAACACAGAGCTTGTTTAAAATGCCCATGCGCGTTTTATTAATAAAAACTAACAGTGCTTAGTTAAACAAGTCAAACAATTAAAGTCTCTTTATATTCCATAAAATATTACAGAAAAGTTTATTTGTGTTTCAATAAAAAGACCATCATTTTAGAACAGGCAGCTAAGGGCAACTGTGCAGTTAACGGTTTCTTGTGAATAAATTTTAAGAGACTATTGCCTGTCCTTAAATTCCTTTTTCTTTTTATAAAAAAAGAACTATTAAAAATGATTGACAAATTTTGAGTTAAAAAACTGTTAAAACATTCTCTATGTTTAATTTCAACTTTATAATAGATTACAGGAAGATGCTTATGAAACAAATACAACATTTGTTTCAGTACACGTCTTTAAATGATAGACTTATAAGTGTGTAAACAACTATATAATAAAAAGTTTCCAAACGTAGCCTGTAAGAAATCAGGCAAATTTACCATAAGCAAACTTTCTAGACAATTTCCATAGCTGCACCAGCGTGGCAGTAAACTTCTTCCAAACAAAACAAAACAAACAAACAAGAAAATCTACTTCGCACTTTGTTGCTGCAATAGAGAAAAGGTGTACAGACTTGATGGGCTTCCAACAGTCAATATAATTTAAGGAAAAATAGTGATAATAAGACGTATGGCGCTTAATGTTTAATAGCAGAGCTTTGCTATTGGCTTGGTTCTTTGGACACTGCATGATTTAACAAATGGAAAACTTCATCCTAAAGCCGGGCTGTCCACCACCTGGGCGCTGGACAGCGGGGGCAGGGCAGCACTTTATCACTGTCACCGGTGTGGGCACACAACAGTTTCCTCAGCAAACCCAGCAACAACTGTTGAGGGGCAAAATAAGCTTCAAACTCAGAATAGAAAGAAAAAAAGAAAAGGGAAAAAAAAAGAAAGAAAAGAGAGAGAAACCATAAAATCCTAAAAGGTAGATACAGGCTCTGCATTAGCACGCTGGCTTCACACCATCTCTGCAGCTAGGCTCAAACTGCCGCACACTCCTTACTTGGAGCTGCACATCTAACTCCAGAACTCGCGGGTATCTTCTTGGGAGTAGGCCAAAAAGAACAGAAAGCCCCACTTTAAGTTTCTCTTCTCTATACATGTTTTTCCTGAAGCTGATTTGAAGGGGAGGGGCCTACGGGCCGAGCGATCAATCCTCCTCGTCGTTCTCATTAAAGTCATCGTCGTCGTCATCGTCCTCCCCGACGTAGGACACAGGGGTCTCGACCCTGGAGCCGCTGTACTGAGACCCATTGGAGCTCGTGGCCAGCATCCCGTCCGCACCATTGCTCAAGTCACTGCAAAGACAGGCCAGTCAGTGGAGAAGCCTGTCTGTCCAGCCCAAGAACCACTGGGCAGGACACTAAGGGGTGGTTTGCCTTTTTCTTTTTAATTACACAGAAAAAAAAAAAAGTTCACCATCTGAAATATTAAAACCATAACCTGTAATGAGCTTTACTCTGCTCGGACTATTCTGAGACCAACCCTTTAAAAACCTGGTACAGCATAGTGTCTGGTCACCAGGACTCATGTGAGATTCCTGAGATACAAAGGTAGTGGGCCACGGGAAAAAATGAGTTGGGACATCAAAAAACACACGCGCGTGCAACTAGGCCACCATGGATCAGCACACACATACCTTCCCATCCCTAGTCTCTGTCACTTGCACATTCTATAACAACATGGGCCAGAACCTGGAACTACCAAGCAGCATCCTTGCTTGTTTGTCTGTTTGTTTGTTTTGTTTTTCCAGACAGGGTTTCTCTGTGTAGCCCTGGCTGTCCTGGAACTCACTCTGTAGACCAGGCTGGCCTCGAACTCAGAAATCTGCCTGCCTCTGCCTCCCAAGTGCTGGGATTAAAGGTGTGCACCACCACTGCCCGGCTTCTAAGTGGCATCCTTAAATACTATTTATCACAAGCTAGGCTGATGGCACACTCCCAGCATTCAGGACCTGTCAGTTAATGTAAAGCCACAATCAGACATCGTAATGCTTTAGTGGCACTTATCAGCACTGCACAGTAACACTACCAAGTACTGGGCTTTCCAATGGGACAGCTACATCCGGAAAATCACCATAGCAAAGCTACCGGGAGACTGGGAAGAGCACAGTGGAGGCCCCAGCTGCTCCCCAGCTGCTCTTGTGACTGTTCTGTAACCATGAGCCTCTACATACTGTGTGCCAAACACAGCACCAACGCTGTTATTCCCCAAAGACGTCAGCAGCCTCATCAGTGTGAGAGGCGGGAAGTCAGGAAAGTTTATTCCATAAAAAGAACCACTTGTGGTCAGCCAAGTGGCTCAACGGGTAAAGACACTGCTCCCAAACCCGGAAACCTAGGACTCTGACCCCCAGGACCACACCAAAGTAAGAGGAAGTAACTCCACACATTCTTTTGATCTTCACATACACCCATTATATGTGTGGGCCGAGAGCACGCACACACACACACACGCACGCACGCACGCACGCACACACACACACACACACACACACACACAAAATTTAAAAACAATTAAGGAGAAAATATTTTAAAATATACTCTACTTTAAAAAACAAAACAAAAAGCCCTATAAGCACATTCACATTCAGCTCAGACTTCAGAAGAAGAGAAGAGCTGATCTCTGAGAGAGCCGGCACACAGCACAGGACGCTCACAGGCTGCCTGTCTTCAACCCTCGAGGGCACATGGGTCACTCAGTCACCACCGGCCCTTGGTGTTCACATGAGGGCATTCACTTACACTATGGCCCCAAATGAACCCAGCAACATCTACAGTTATTAACTTAAAACAACTCTAAAATTTAAATTTCTATCGTACTAACAGTTAACCTTAACTAGACTGTATCTATCAACATCGTCCATATTCACTGTAAAGACTACCTTAGGCCTATTTCTAAAGCATACTACTCACCTTCTGAAACTGCCAGACCAACTGTCAGCTATTATGTTTTTGTTTTTAAATAGTAGATAAAGGTCCTCCAATAACACAGAGAATAAAAAGATGCAATAAAATACAAAGCACAGGGCAGGGGAGGCGGCTTAGTCACTGCAGTGCCCTGTACCATGAGGATCTGAATTTAGATCATGAGCACCCACGTAAGTCAGACGTGGTGATGCCAGAGAGACGGCTGACAGGTAGATGGATTGGAGGTTAAGAGCAGTGGCTGTTTTTGCAGAGGACCTGGGTTCAATTCCCAGCACTGATATGACAGCTCACAAGTCTGTAACTCCAGTTTCAAGGACCTAACACCCTCTTATGACTTCCACTGTTACCTGATACACACATGGTATGCGAACATATATGTAGACAAAATACAAATTCACTGTACAAATTTAAAGAATATATATTTTTAAAAGCTACAGTTGACAGTATCTTCCCATAACCTAGAACCAGGAAGCCAGAGGAAGCCTGTTCAGTGAGAAATACTGTTTTACATACATACACACACACCACCATGACCACCAACGCAAAACAAAAAACCAGAAAAGTTGAGAAGCTTTGGGCAACTGAAAGTTGCAGGAGGAGTTGCAGTTTTGTTCAGGGATGTGGGCCCTAAGAGGTCACCCACGTTCCAATAGATACCCTACACATATTGACAGCACTACACAGACAGAGACAGAGACAGAGACAGAGAGAGAGCGCGCTCATGCAGATATGTCAGGAGGAGGTGACAGTGAGAACAGGGAAAGTTGGAGGAGGGAATGAGGGTGAATTTGGTCACAGTACACAAGTGTGTGAATATTGAATAAAGCACTTTATAAAAATAAACTGCAGCCGGGCAGTGGTGGTGCACGCCTTTAATCCCAACACTTGGGGGGCAGAGGCAGGCAGATTTCTGAGTTCAAGGCCAGCCTGGTCTACAGAGTGAGTTCCAGGACAGCCAGGGCTACACAGAGAAACCCTGTCTCGAAAAACCAAAATAAACAAACAAACAAATAAACTGTAAAGGAGACTGAGGCAAGGGGATGCCAAGGCCTGGCTGGTTGCCAAGTGAAACTGTCTTAAAAAATAAAAAAGGGTAAGTAACAACACTTGCTAGGCTGACCTGATGACCTGACCAGAGTTCGATTCTAGGGCCCACACACACATGCTCTGAACTCCACACAGGTACAACACGTGTATGCCCACACTCACATCCTCTGAACTCCACACAGGTATAACACATGTATGCCCACACTCACATCATACATGTAACAGATTTTAAAAACTGGGCAAAAGCACCTGCCACACAGAGACCAAAGTTCGATCCTGGGAACCTTGTAAAGGTGGGAGAGAGCCGCACGCACACACACACACGCGAATGCATGCATGCACACACACACACGCGAATGCATGCATGCACACACACACACACGGATGCATGCGTGCACACACACACACGCGGATGCATGCATGCATGCCTCTTCTGACCTCCACCCTTGCCCCACATACATCACACACAAATAGTAACAATAAATAAAATAAAAGGCTTCTACAAAGCAAGTGCCAGGACTGTCTGGGCTACACACAGAAACCCTGTCTCAAAAAAACAAAAAAGACAAAAAACAACAAAACAAAAAAAACAAAACAAACAAAAACAAAAAACAACAACAAAACAAACCAACCCCCCCAAAAAATCCCTTGTCACTTTCCCTGCCAACAGTAGAACACAGGTAGATTTGCGCCCACCTTATACGTTTTAAAAATTACTTAATTGGTGGCGGTATGTGTGTGTGTGTTGTGTGTGTTGAGGTGCAGTGAGGTCATTTCATGGGGGACAAGCACCGTGTTCCCTTGCCTGGGCAGAGAGTCACCTGGGCCAAGCTCAGTCCAGCCTATCTGAAACGCAGTAGGGCTGCCCCACCCCCAGCTGTTGTCACCTGGCAGAAAGCCTTGTGCCATTGGATGTAGAACCTGTTGTCGTGACGAATACTCCGCCAATGGATCCCTGAGCCATTTCTGAAGAGAGACAGAAGCAGATAGTAATAAACTGAGTAGTCAGGTGTGGTGGCACCTGCCTCTTAACCCCAACACTTGTGAGGCAGATCTCTGAGCTCTGGGCCGGCCAGAGGCAGAGACCAGACAAAACTCCTGAGACCCAGTATGTGAGAAGCAAGCCTGCATGACCAGACACAGTTTGGGAAACTCTGCAGATACCCTGCCAACTTGCTTTCCCTGCCCATGTGAGAACCAGGGATGGCTGGTTCCCAGGCAGTATGCGTGTCCCTTTGGGAGGTTCCCCGTGCTGCTCCGTGTGCCCATAGCACCAGAGAGTAGAGACAGGGACTAAGAGTATGAATATACAGAGAACCACCTTCCACCTCAGACTCATGCAGAGTCCAGACCAGGTCCCAGGCCTGCATTTGGTGCAGGAAGGCTAGAACAGGCAATGCCTTACACAGGATAGGACAGATGTTCATGCAGTCTAGGACAGCCTCAGAAAGCAAGCACACATCATGCACTTTTGACCGTTGAACAGGAGTTTTCACAAGGCCAGCATGACCTGATGATTCAGCAAAGTCACCGAAGTAGAAGCCCAGGAAACTGACAGCCCTGCCACACACTGTCCTTGCTGCTGGGTTATAAAGACCAACCCAGGCCTGTCACCTCAGTAGACAGATCCTCCCTCCATGACACTTTCATCATGAAAACTACAAGTGCCACTCATGGGGCCCAACAACCAAGGAACTGATGTTCAGCTTGACCCCAGCAGACACCCAGGCACTAGGATGTACCGGACACAGCATGGCCGGTCACAGGGCACAACTGACCTGTCACGTATGGTTCTAGAGCTTTTGGTACCAAACTCCTCGCCACCTTGAGGTCTTCAGCAGAGCAGTTGCCCGACTCCAGCCCGCATGCCATGCCCATGCGCTTGAGTACCTCAATGTCGTCGTGGATCTCAAACGTGTTGTCAAAGTTAAACAGATACTCGAACCTGTTGGGGAAAGGCACTGTGAGGATTATGCGACTTCCAAGAGAAGGCAGGAAGTCCTGTGGGTGGGAACCAGGCAGCTGCTCCCCCCGCCCCTACACACACCCTCCACCCCAGATCCTATAACTGAATTTCTCTAAAACAGTTCAAACTAGGGAATGAAAGACATGTCACTGCATAATTCCACAGCCTGTCTTGCTCTAGGCACTGCCCTGGTCCAGGACACAACGCTGCCTGCACATGGCACGTGTTCTAGGACTGCCAGAGACCACAACTGCTGTTCAGCCCGACCCCAGCAGACATTCAGGCACTAGGGATGTGCCGGACCACAGCATGGCCAGTCACAGGGCAGAACTGACCTGTCTGTCACGTATGGTTCTAGAGCTAAATAGCCGTAAGACTGAACCCTGATAGCAAAGTATCTGTTTCTTCCCCTGAGGAGCCACACTTAGGAGCCCACTAAGGACGAACTTGTCATTGGAGATGCTGCAGTCGATGACTGTCTTCCTGCTGGTGTTGACAATGATGAAGGGCAGGTGGATGACAGAGTTGGGCGGAGGTGGCCTGCGGGCCTGTTGCTCGGCTTGGCGATTTCTCTGCACCAAGTTCTTGAAGGCAATTTGCTGCAAAAGACCACCACAGCCCCCCAGTAAATGTCAATATCAGTAACATGATTCCCTCCCTTCCTGCAGATGACAGTGAGATCCTGGGTGTTAAGAGATTGACCTGTAGCAGCCTGTGACATCTGCTCACAGCCTACAGGGGACAAGGAGCACAGGAAAGCAGTCACACAAATGACCTGCTAGGACGCTCGGTCCTGAGCTAATCCTTGTAGCAGTTCTGCAGGGATGAACCCAGAGCCAATGGACCGTGCCTGAGTCCACACAGACACAAGACTCTCTGATCTAAGTCTGCCAACCACACTCCTCCCTCCCTACAGTGGAGGTGTTCTCCTGAAGACACATGTGCATACAGAGTAGGAGGCCCCTCATCTCCATAAGGAGACAGGCTACGACAGTTTAAAAAAAAAAAAAAAAAAAAACTCGACCAAGGTAAGTGAGGGCAGGAAACAAGGAGTGGGCTGGCCCACTACCTACCCAGCTTACTTTTCCTTCTGGAGCCAGGATCTCTATTTCCCAGATCGTGGTACCCTGAATGGGCCCAACCATGCCACCTTTAGGCTGAGCACACAAGGGAGAGCATGTTACCAAGCACTAGGTCCTGACACCACTCCTTCATCACTCACATCATATTTTAGGCAGTTACCAAGGCCTTGGGAGGGGCCAGGATAATGCTGGGATCTCCAGCTCTGACCACTGGGCGCCCTGAATACTATGATCATTTCAGGCTGGTGGCCAGTCACCCCATGACCAGAACCATCGCTATGCCTTCTGGAAGGTTCTGGAACATCTCAGTCAGCTCTGCCATAAGCCCTGTACACACTATCTTCACTGAATCCCTGGTCTCTTACAAGAGAAGTTCAAGTCCCAGGGCCACTTGACATGAACATGGACAACAACCTTAACCGCCATGCTTTCCCTGTGCAGTAACTGTGAAGACCAACATCTACAGAGTTCACGACAAGCCTGGTGCAGGCTTAAGATTCCCTTGATGTCACGCCAAGGAGCTTACAGCACATAGTCAAGCCTTTTTGAGAACAAGGCCTGTGTGGCTAACAGACGGTTTCCAGGGGAAGGTGGGGGAGCTCAGAAAGGCCATACCTGCAGGATGAGCTCCTGGAGCTGTGACTGCTTCTGTTTGATCCTTTCCAGCCTCCGCTGCCTTTCCACCTGCAGACAGTGAGGAGGGGTACCCATCAGCATGCGTACTGACAAACCCATTCTGCCAGGCCCACAGACTCTTTCACCAAGAGTGCAGACACAGCCGAAGCTCTAGATGAAGGCCAGTGTTCCTGTAACCTCAACAGCATACTGATCCTCTCCTTCCTTTCGCATGTGCGCGCACACACACAGTCAGGGACTACCAAATGCAAAGAGGCCCTCCTTACATCCACTCAGCCTGCTCAAGTGACCAAGGAGAGCAGAAGCCTGCTTAGGCATTGCACCTCTAAGTTCTGGCACTCCTGAGCTGAGTTGGTGGGCAGGCCGATCCATTTGATCTCCTTCTTCTCCTTGGAGATAATGTTCATGGCCATTAGCACATTTAAGGCATCGTAGACACGCCGCCGGATGTTCTTCTGGTCATAAGCCTAGAAGACAGAGTGACATTCTTCTTGGTGATCCAATGACTTGGAAATTCTCACCTGAGGTTTATACCACAAGCATGTCCCAAGGGGATGCTCCTGGCCCTGCAAACGACCTGCTTCATGCCTTACAGCTTATACCGAGGGTTTTCTGGCACCCATCACTGTCTCAAATTGACAAGCTGAGCCATGCTATACGAGTGGCCTGCAATTCAAGCCCCGAGTACTGTCAGCACTTACTGATTCGTTTGGTAGGATGTGGTTGTCAGCAGCGCTGAACTCTGCAACCAGCTCGTCAGCCACCTCATTGTAGGAAGTCGTCCCTTTCCTCTGCACCTTCTCACACACCTTCATGGAGAAATGTCGCAGGCCCTTGCCATTCTTCTCACCTTTCCTGTTCCGCTTCCTTTCAAATACCAGAAAAACAGACACTGTTAGTAGTCGTGGGAGCCAGATGTGAATCAAGACACTTTCAGGGAAAAGGCCTAAGGCTGCAGAGGCCCATTTTCCCCACAGCCCCACCACAGGCAGCAGGGACTCCGCCCTAATACATCAAGGCCATTGGCAAGTATCAGTGTTTCTCAGGTCAGAAAAGAACATGTATGAGGCCAGTTCACACACCTGTGCCTTTAAATGTCAGGGAAGATGGACAGACATCCGAAGGGCAGAAATCAGCATGGGTCTGATCCGGACCACACACTAGGCACCACTGTTCTAAAGGCGTCTGCTGGCATCAGAGCACGGCACATTTTAGTGTAAACTTAGGGATTTTCAGGGCTAATTTTGGCAAGCTACCATGACATAAGGCAAATGCTTAGACTGAAGGACATGTGTCAGAAGGAAACCATGGTGGTGCAAGCTTCAGGCCAGGAGGCCACCAAACGTGTCACCATCACTAAATCACACCAGGAACAGAGTCATTAGATTCCTCTGGAGAGTTTTGGGCCAGAGAATTTAAATTGAAGCAAGAGAGACATGGTTTCACAACAGTGTGTTTTTAAAAAGTGACACACTGGTGATCTTTAAAGAGAATCACTTCACATCCACATCTGCTACTAGCTCAGTGGCAGTACAGCCTGGAGGGACCATGAGCACGACGGAGCCCTGATGTCAGACCTGGTGAGAGCAGACCTTCTGACACTTTCTACACATTTGTGTCTTATTAGTGGACAGTGTTCTCTCTGTGGCCCAGTCAGGTGAGATGGGATCTTTGAACTCTCTCTGCTCAGGTACCCCTACTACAGACCACATGACACATGGCCAGAGGAAAAAGGGGACATTCTCAGCAGCTGCCACCCTAGGGTGGGGGTGCTCACCCGGCAGACCAAGGTGAGGAGTCGGACGTCTGGTTCTGGGACACAAAGTGAGTGTTGGGAGTGTGTGGGCTTCCTACCACAATAGTGTTGGACGCTGCAGGTCTCTGAGGCGTGCCAATCACCTACAGTCAAAGAAGAATTCAGAGCAATCAGACATGTCTCCATCACAGTGCTGCCATGTGCCACTGCTTCCTTCTGCAGCCACTGAGGTGCCCTGTCAGCCGCAGCGAGAAGACAGCAGAGAAGCATGCGCCCGACGCAGCGGCATCGAGAGCAGTGGCAGTGTCACTGCAGCTGCTCAGCAGGTGGCACTACCCCACGCAGCTCAGACACCCCGACATCTGAAAGCACCCAAGTCTCAACCAGGCGGGCAAACCGAGAAGACAGCAGGCCACGGTGTAGGGGCTGGGAAGGACAAGGCAGGCCTCCCACGGCAAAGAACACTGAGTAGTACCCACACCAAGCCGGCAACTTACTGACAGCTACGATTAATAACAGGGCAGTAACACGTTTCTGGTTTATTCTCTCTTAACGAGCTAGACAAGGATAAACTGCCCCCCCTCCCAAAGTATGAAAGTTACAAAAACAACACAAAAATAACCCAAACTTCCAGAACTAATGTAACCCTGGGACAGACAGTAGGTACCTCTTCCAGCTCCCAAATGGCACCACCCTCTGTCCAAGTGGAAATGGAGCTTGAGTGTGCTGCCCGGGATACCTTTTTCTACTGTCTATGAGGGACCCCAGGATCCAAAGTTCATCAGGACAAGAAGAGGACAGGCGGCTCCATTGGGAGCACACAGCCAACAGCTCACCTGACCAGAGGCGGTGGCTCCTCGGAGTCAGGTTCTACCATAGAGCTGATGTGGAGACCACTCTTACAGCAATGTCTTTGATGTCCTTTGGGAAGAGGCCTGCTATTTTGGTTCCCTCAGTTAACACACAAACCTGTTCTTCTGGAGACAGACACTGTCTTGTTCTGACAACAATCTTGCCACATACATAACTCTAAGTCAAAAAGACCTCTGGTAAACCCCAACCTACAAAGTACTTCAGTGATCCAATTCTCCTTGGGAAATCCCTACCAGCACTGAACTGAGATACCTGGATCCGTAGCATCCCTCCTCCTTTGCCCAGGAAGGTGTGGTACACTTTGGGAGCGCTAGGCCACACGAGAAGTGCATCTTGGCTTACTCTCTCAGGCGGGACCAGGGAAGCCTCCCCATCCCCACAGACAACAAGACCTTCACCAGTACTGCTTGCCAGTCACACTCCTACACCCCAGACCAGCATGAGGCTGGCACAAGGTTCTGAAGCTCACGGGAGACCTCAGTCTATTCTGCAGCACGAGAACAACCACCCCTGAGAAGATGCACAGCAAGACTCAAGAATGGTCAGGAATACCTGCCTGCATCCTGCAGCTGTGCGTGTGCAGGAGGGCGCATGTGGCTGGCTTACCCACTGACCACAAGGAGGCTGCCAAATGACTGGATCTGAAGAAAACCAGCTTCAACTCTTCCATACAGCACTTCTGAAATGCTATGCCAAGGAGGGTTAGGTGGCCCCCAACATCAGGACACACAGAGACCCTGTGCACATTCAACCCTCAGGCACACACGTCTCTGTGGATCTGACAATAGAAAGAAGGAAAACTGTGCATATGCCTTTACCTTTGGTGAATGTCCCAGCCTCTGTACATGTATGCCCCGCCTTCACGCACAGCGTGGTTCACGCACAGCATGGTTGGCACGTGCTCAACCCTGTGTACCCATGGCTCTCTACACATGCTCTACCCTCTATGTGCACACACTGCTTAGACAAAGCTCCGGTTCTGTGTGCACACGCTGATGGAACAGGCTCAGCAGAAACAAAGTTCAACTGCAGCAGTGGGGGCCTTGGAGGCAAGAAAAGAAAACAAGAAACAAACCAAGGAAATATCAGCAAAGAGGGTGGGGAAAAGAGGAAAAAACATGGGGAGAGTCAGGTGCCCAGGCCTCAAGGAGACAGAAGAAAACCAGGCTGTAAAGTAGCAACTCCCTGCTGGCATGGCCAGATACAAAGACTGCAGACAAAGCCCTGAGGAACACAGCCATGCTGGCAGGAAGTGGGCCCTAGTCCATCTGCACCCTGACACTGGAAAAAGGACCATATTAGCCTTGGTGTACTCATGTTGCACCATCTGCATACATACGTATGCTGCATGCAGAAGCTCCCAGGGACACCGGTCCTTCAGAGACCACATGGCTACTTCTGCTAAGGTTCTCTGGTTGCTATCCCTCAGGACAATCCCTGCTTCACATGGAGAAAGAGGAGGCCAAGCAGAGTCTTTCCTGTGGTCACTACTGCTGGGACTGAGACTGGTTCAAATCCAGTCTTCTAGACCCAAAATTCCAGCAAGCCCTTACATGACTCTGCTGACTGGCACATGCTGAGTGAGGACTGACCACCACACATCTGGGAATCCAAGTGAGGCCAGCACTGAATCTCAGGACTGAGATCTGTCTCACCACCCAGAGCCCCTCTCTAGCTTTCAAGCAAATCTAGGAGTCCTGCTGATACGTCTTCACCTTGCTAAGGATAGAACACAGCCTCCCACATGAGGCAAGCATTCTGCCATCAAGCCACACCCAAACCCAGACCAAAAGGTCTTCCAAAACACTCTCCTCTCAAGCCACCCTAAGGATTCATTTTGCACTTTAATTTCAAATGATAAAAACTGTTTAGTCTTGTACCCTGCATCATTCTAGTTACATACAAAATAAAAAATTTAAAAGACAAAAGCAAACCACAAACTTAGAAAGGTTCAGGAAAGAGAACATGCAGGCAGGGTCCACACAGTGCAAACCAACAAGGCTGAAACCTCTGTGCTTAACAGAGACATCTCTGTGTCAAAACTTCCAATACTACACACCTAGACCCTCCCTTCCAATACTTCAGCACCTGCCCCGTCACACTTCGCACGCACACAGGCTTAGCTATCATCTCCTATGTTAGAGTCAGCCCAGCCATCTCCTCAGACCTTTGAGATATGAAAGAGTTAAAGGGTCACTTAGAACACGCCAGGCTGAGGACACAGCTTAGGAATACGCTGTCACCTAAAACGCACGAGGCCTGATGTTTATTCCTAGTACTACCAAAAAATAAACAAGGGACTCCAGCAGCATGGAAGCCCTGAGCACTGCTACAGTGCAAAGCATGAACGGTAATCAGCTCTCCTCCAAGTTCCATTCTACAGATGCTGACTTTCAGATCAATAAAGCTTACATCACTTATCAACTTTCCTCCCACCCACTGAGACACACATTTTGCAAAGACAACTTGTTCAAACTCTCAGTACAGGGCTAACAGTAAAAACAGTTTCTTCTCAATTGGCCCACCAGAGCCCAGGTCCACGACACAGGGTTGCAAGGTCCTTAGAATTCAAGACCAGCCTGATCTACACAAAATGATTTCCAAGCCAGCCAGTGGTACATGACACCTCATCTCAAACAAAACAAAACAAACAAATAAACATCATGAAGGACTTGAAAGATGGCTTGGTAGTTAAGAGCACTTGTCATCCTTGCCAAGGACCCAGGCTTGATTTTCAATACCCACACGGTGACTCACAAGCACCTACAACTCCAGTTCCAGGAGGTATGATGCCCTCTTCTGAACTCTGTGGGGACCCGGCACACATGCAGTACGCATATACAATGCAGGCATAACACTCAGACACAGAAAATTTTAAATGGAAAAAAATTAGAAACCAAGAAAACCCACAATGTCCATAGTCCACTGACAAAAGGAGGCGAGAATGTGAACGCTGCACCCCGCAACTGAGGCTGGAGCACGGGCGATCCGACACTGCTAACATGGTATGACCACTTTCTATGTAGAAAGCTCAGCTGCACTACAGAGATGCCTCAACAACGGGGCAAAAAGCCTAGCCTAGGACTCTCTTTGGGGATAAGAGACATCTAAGAACAGCCAGCAATGCCTGTGGAGACCCAGGAGGACGAGAGGGATAGCTAGGGACACTGTGAAATGCTGGAGAGGGTTTGGTGATAGTCATCTGTCATGAAGCCTAACTACCAAGTCCACTTCCCAGGGGACACATGATGAAGGAAAAGAAACTCCTGCAAGTTGCCCTCTGACCTCCACACAAGTGTTCACTTAATATATAAAAACAGAACAAAACATAAAATATATTCTAAAAACTGTTAAGATACAGAGTCCTAAGGCCCCATGATTACTTGACATGAGGCTGGTGGGTGTAAGACACTGTGGAAAAAGCAGCATGTGGGCAAGGAGGCCCGCACATCCTTAAGCCTCAGGCTTCCCCGGAGAAGCCAGAACATCTAGAGGTTGGGGGAGGGAAACCCAGAACAAAGTTCCTGGAAGAAAGACAAGAATCTGTTCACTACTAGGCAGCTGTGCTAAAACACCACTGACTGAAGCTCCAGCCACAGGTAAGCCCACCGCAGTCACACTGAGGGAGGCTGGAAGGCTCTAAGAAAGGGCATGGTGCTGGCCTCTTCCTGTGGCCATAGCTACACAGCCACACCCTTCCTCTAACCCTTCACAGCCAGGAGACAGTGGCTATAGAGAAAGGCCACAGAGCTGGCAACTGAAGCCACGGAGCAGGGCAGCTGCTCAGGTCTTGAACTGTCCATGCTCATCCACCAGGTTTCTGCCATGTGTACAGGGGCCTCAGATTGTCCCAGACATAGAAAGCACATTGAAGACAGTAAGACTGAACACCGTGTGTATAACAGAAGGTAGTGTACGTTTTCAGGAATCAGAATGCATCCTGAGAGGAAAGTCACTCCTACAAGCAACCTCCTCTACTCATCAACACGGTGGCCAGCATGGCCCACACCAGCATGGCCCACACCAGCATGGCCCACACCCAGCCCATCCACAGACCTGACACTCACGCTTCTTACCACTTACCACTTGCTGTGTGATATTGACATTGGACTGTCCGAAAGTTTTTGGCAAAAGCTGCTTTCCGAGTGTGTTCACTGTGGATGGGTGTACAGCTACAAGAGACACCACACCTGGAACACAACGACATGGGTTAAGAGTTAAACTGCTTCTCTGAGCTGAGGTTAGAAGAGGCAGTTCCAGGAAGATGGTGCGTCTATCAAGACTCTGACTTCCCTAGTTTTGATTTATAGACCTATGGCTCAGTCACAAATGTCCCAGCCCCAAACTTTGTCCTGAGTCCTTGAGTTCCCTCTCTGGGCACTGGTTAAGGAAGGTACTAGGTCTGGGGACCAGGGTCCACTCTATAGTAGGTATCGAACTTGCCACAGCACCTCCCCAGTGGCTGTCTGTCTATAAGATAAGATAGCCATTTCTTTGCTTTAATGTAGCAAAATAAAGTAGAACACCTAACGTGTTTACCTAACACAAAGACTGACACACAGAATCCCCAGGGAAGGCTGATTTTTCAGCTATAAAAGAAAAACCAGAACATGACCTGAAGCTAACTCTCACTTTAAGAAGTGTCTCAGTAAAAACATATTATAAAGACCTTTCAAAGGAAAATGCTTTTAAATACAGCTATATAGACACTATGAATTGCTAAAATCCAGAGAAAGATCCCAAAATGTTGCATTCATATTTTTGCAATTGTAAGCCACATCCTTACTATCTGCAGATTTAAGGCAGCAAATTATGAAACTATGAAACCTGGAATTTGCCTCACCCGACCTTAACCAAAGGACCCACAAGTAAGAGTTCCTACATGTTTTGCTTAATTCTTTTTGGTGTGCGCTACGGATGGAACCCAGAGCCTTGCTCATGCCAAGCAAGCGTACCATCTAAAGCCCAACGAAAGAGTGGTTTTAAGTAAATGGCCCCACTACCAAAGAAAAGTACAGGTTTAATGCAGTCCCTACCAAAACACTAACAGCATCCGGTATAGAGCTAGAAACGCAGTTGCTGCTAGGAACTCCAAACAGCTAAAGTATCCCTAAGCAGAAGGCAGAGCTAAAGGCATGGCCATGTAGTAACAAAGGACTACAACAGAAGACCGAGAGATAAATACAGACACTTGAGCTTTCAGCAACAACAACAACAACAAAAAGCCAAACTCTACACTACAGAAAAGGCAGCTCTTCAACGGTGCTGTGAAAACTGCATTTCGGTGTGCAAAGGAATGAAGCTAAATAATTCTTCACTAAATTAACTCATTGTATTAATGACCTTAATGTAAGACTTCAAGCTGTGACCCTGAGAGATGAACACAGGATAAAAGCTATTGGTGCAGGCAAAGGCTTCCTGAGAAGGAGTCTGACCACACAGGAAATCACCCTGAGATTGGATTACAGGAGACTTAGGTGTTTTTTCAGAGCAGACAATCACCAGGGAAGAGAAGGCTTACAAAACCAGAGAAAATCTTTGCCAGTTACTCATCTACCAGCAGATTAACATCACTATATAAAGGCCAAAAAAACAAACAAAAAACAAAAAAAACCAAAAACAGCAACACCAAAGAACAAATAAACCAATCAATAAACTGAGCAAACAGATCTCACAATTTTCAAAAGTAGAAATAACCAATTAATACGACTAATAATTAGTAATAACTGTTTAGCAACCTTAGCAAAGAAAAGTGAAAATCAAAACTGCATCGGGTTCCATCTGACCCATCTGAGTGGCCACTGCCAAGAAATCAAGAAGCAAATGCTGAAGGACATGGGGAAGCAAACTCATGAACTGCAGGGAGAGTGCAGCAGGTAGATAGCCACCACAGGGAATCAATGTGTGCGTGCATGTCTGTGAGTGCGCACACACACACACACACACACACACACACACACACACACACGCTTGGGAAAAATCAAGAGGCTAGGCAGGTGGCTCGGTGCTGACAGTACCTGCTGCTCTTGAAGAGGCCTGGGTTTGATTCCCAGCACCCAGAGTGACTCACAACTATCACACATAACTCCAGGGGGTCCAAGGCCTCTAGAGGCAAAGGACTCATAAGTGTTGCACATATGTACATGAACGCAAACATGCATACACATAAAAGTTTTAAAAGTTAACACTGGGAATATATTCCAGTGGAATAAATACACTGTGGACATACTAGGTAAGTGTATTTTCATCACATGTGCATTAAGAAAGAAAACACATGATGCCATAAGACACACTCAAATGGTAGAAAGTTACCACAGTAACAAGTCACCATACGCATTGCCTCTCAGCCATGTTGGCTACTGCTTTAGGGGCAAGACCAGCGAACACATCTCAGCAGAAATTCTACACTAACCAGTGTGGTGTCTACAGGCCGCATACTGCGTGCCGACAGACAGGACTCCAACCCCTGCTCTCCCCACACCCTCACTTCCTCTAACCCCAAGTAAATGACTATGCTTTCTCTACATAGTTTATTTGTTACAATTCTATGTAAGTGGGACCACACGGTATCTTTCTGTCTCTGGATTACAGTCTTAATGTAACAGCCTGCCTGTTCATCTCCACTGTGGCAAATGGCAAATCTCTGCTTTTTTAGAGGATTTAATTCCCCAGGTATTTTTTATCCATTCAGCCACTGACAGACACGAGTTGTTTCTGTACCTTGTGAGCAGGAGTACAATAGGTGGGTGTCCTCAACAATGACGTAACTCCTTTGAGAAGAGCTCACAAAGCACTGGATGGATCCTGTGGTGGCTCTGTTTCTGGTCTTCCTAACATGCACAAGGGCATGGTGTGTACTTATTAGTACTGGGAGGGACCTCTAACAAGCATCTCTACTGGTTTGATCTATCTATCTATCTATCTGTCTGTCTGTCTGTCTGTCTGTCTGTCTTTTTACTTCCTGTGTATAGGAGTTTTGCCTGCATGCCTGTGTACCACGTGTGTGCAATACCTGAGAAAGCCAGAAGAGGGCATCCAAGTCCCTGGACCTGGAGGTGTAGACATGTGGGTACTAAACAGCAACTTCTGCGATAGCAGTGATCCTATCTGTGGCGCCATCTCCAGCCCTACCCTTACCTTTACTAGAAGGTCCTACTGGGTGTGAGGGCATCTCTGAGGTTCCAGTCAGTAACAAAACCTCATTTGCCTCCTGTGTCTCCTTCAAAGCCTGACAGACACACGCACACACACACACGGGGGCGGGGGGGGGGGGGGGAAAAAACAAAAAAACCAAAAAAACAGCCACACACCGGTTTCCTACTTGCCCATCCCACCCTCAGGCTGAGGAAAATGGGCTCTTATCCACTGCCTGCCTTAGGGTAGGCTGGTGTGGCCAGCTGTCCTTCAGCATCTGGATCCTCCACCATCGCTCACACACTCTATCATTAGAAGCACAGAATAGAGATGCAGACACACAGACACAGACACACACACGACCCGGCTTCTGTAGGAACACTTCAACAAAGGCCCTCATCCCTTCCTCACACAAGGCTTACAGCTTCTGAAATGTCACTGTGGCACTAAAAAGGTAAATTTAAGTTAAAAACAAAATGTGAGGCCTCTCTTGATCCCAGGGGGGTTAGTATAAAAAGAGTCTCATTGGGTTGGAGGGGTAGCTCAGAGGATAAGAGCATTGGCTGCTCTTCCAGAGGTCCTGAGTTCAATTCCCAGCAACCACATGGAGGCTCACAACCATCTATGAGATCTGGCATCCTCTTCTGGCTGTGCAGGCAGAACATTGTATATATAATAAATCTTTTAAAAAGCGTGTGTGTGTGGGTGTCTCATCATCTCTTAAGCCCCTCTGCCTGAAAAGATCTCAGTGTAGCTACCACAAGGCCAGGGGAAAAAATACTCTGATCCATGTTTGGGCTGCAATTCACCATTCTCCACGGTAGCTAACATATGCCCAAGAACACACTAGTTTCTGACACACACCATCATTAAAATTTTTCTCTCACCATTAGTCTCATTCTGAGGCCACAGACACAATCCTGAAGCAGGAAGGACAGACAGACACACCGGGAACAGGTAAGGATGAGGAGCAGCAGGCACAGAACACATCTGGAGCACACAGCTCCCTGGAGTAGATAAGAAGCCAGGCTGCTCTGTACTACCACAGCCTACAGCAAGCGAGACACTGGAGATGCTCTGGGTTTGGATACCTTAGAGCATCAGGAAATGGGGTCAGACTATGTCCAAACGAGAGGCAGAGTTCTAGATCAGTGGTGAATAATGACAGGCAGTACACCATTCTCAGAAACTGTAGTGAAAGGTCTAAGAGCCCAGGAACTGAAATCACAGCAGAAACAATGACCATCACCCCAAAGATGACCCCAGCACACACACCAAGACTGGGAAGGGCCCCAAAGCTCAGCACATGTGCAAACTTTCACATGTGCTCTTGGGCACGCTGGTGGCACTCCAAGGAACACAAATCCCTCAGTTGCTAGGCCAGAGGAAGATGTACATGTGCTAGATTCCCCTGGGGAAAGAAACCAAGAAATGAGAAGCATCAGACATATTAGGAAGTTCAATGGCAGCAACTCTGGGCAGAGTTCCGGAAGGAGCCTCTGACAGTAAAGTCCTCCGGCAGAACCCTGTGGGCAATTCAGTCACAGAAGTAAGAGGACAGGCCCGGGTAGCAGAGAAATCTGAAAACCCAGTACCATCATATGCTGGCAAGGATGCGAGCAGCTGGACCCGCGCTGGCACAGACAGGAAGGAAGTGTAGTGAGGTAGCAGAGGGTGACCCAGGGCCCAATGTCTCCAAGACCAAGTCACCATCAGGAGCAGTGAGCACATGCGACACCGTGGCATGAGAGTCCACCAGGCACTGTGCTGCAGTAAGTCAGAAGCAGCCTGGACAGCGACACCAGGGAGCCTGCTGCACCACCTTACTGTTGCAACTGAGCTGGCAATGCAAAGCGTTATGGATTTGATGCATTGTTCTGGGGAAAGGGGTTCTGAGTCGCAAAGACTGTAAAGGTCAGGGTCACGTATCTGTCTGCTGAGGTCAGTTTGCCCACTACTCTCTGGCACACCAGTCTAGCCACTTCTGTAGACTTACACTTGGAAGACAGACAGACAATCTTGATGCTGGTAGGTCTCATGTAACCAGGTGAAGGTGTTACAAGCAAGCCAGAGGCTTCCAGTATTAAGTTCTCCCTGAGACATCAGCATCCACACCTGCCACGTAGCCTTTGGATTTGCCACCCACAACCAAAACCCCTCTTCATGTGCACACATGAAGATTTCCATCACCAATTCCCTGGAGGACTTTGACAGAACAGCAGAACTAAAAAACATCCCTCTGCAAGGGGAAGAGGACTTGGGTGGCCCTGAGCCTTCCATAGAGCTAGGAGACCAGGGTATGAATGGCTGGTGTAGGATGAGGAAACAACAGATCACAGCTACCCAGGCTCAACAGCACCAAAGCAACAACATTTCACTGGTCTTCCTCATCAAAGAAGACCCCCTCTCTGAGACAGGCCCACCACTGCCTGCCAGGTTACTCATGCACAGAACTTTTGTGTACTCACGTACAGTGACTTCTGGTAAATTCAGAATGTACCTGGCCTCTGGGCCTTGAGGAGGCTGTGAACTAACCACAGGGAACAAATAAGAAAACATCGGGGAAGGATATGGAGAGAGTCCGCCGTGACACGCCCAGCTTTTCCTGGCCAGCTCCCGCTGCTCACTTTTTTCCCTCCAAGATCTGACTCAAGAGACACCTCCAGTGTAAGATGCTGTGATTACACTGGCCACAATGTACAAGTGAGGGTTAGGGTCCTGCTCTCTGCATGTGCAGGCATCGCTGGCTATTCCAAGGATAGGGTATGGTGCAGAACATCTGCCTAATGATTGCTTGGGTTCTCATCTGTACACATGCACACACACACACACACACACACACACACACACACACACACACACATGAATAAAGGAAAGAGAGGAAAGAATAGAGGAGAGACACAAGGGGTGGGGTGGGGGGCATGGAGTGTTTCCAACATAATGACATAAACAATGCTCTAGGCTTTTTACCTCAACAACCAAGAAAACACAGCGAACAGCATAGTACTCCACCATCTGTACTCCTAAGCTGAAGAGCAAAGGCAAAGGAACTTCCTAGTGAAGATAGCTCTTCTAGCCCTCACTCAGATGGCAACTCTGGAAAACTTACTGCTGTTCCAGCAACAAAGGAACAGAAGGCTCAGCATGTGCTGAAGAGGGGCAGTGTCTGGACAGCACAGGACCAGGAATTCACGCATACTAGGAAGTACCCGGGCTCCTGAGCCTCATGGCACTACCTTGATGCAAACATGTCCACCGGGCCTCTCTGAAACCTCCATTTTCACTGCCCTGGGCACCTGTCAGGAGTGAGGATTGCATATCTGACAGACAGTTCTATCTAGGCTTATTCTCTACAATGGTCACCAGAAACTAACAGCAGCACACACTTTTTGAGAAGGGAAGAAGGTCTGGAGTGAAGAGAGCCATCACTGTGCATTTCCCAAACATCAGAACTCCAAAACAGCATTAAGTGTACAGCATACGTAACAGTAGGTTCAAGCAACTGGTCTCAAGGTGACATGACCCCACGGACCAGGCAGAGTACTGGTCCACACAGGATGCTAGCCAATGCAGCGAGCAGGACGAACCTGTCCCAAAGCCCACACAGGTGCGGATCCTGTTTGTCATGGCTGACCACAAAGCCAGGAGTAAAAGGAAGCAAAGGAAGTGTCACAACAGCCCGACTCTGACATGCAGACACACGTGTCTTATGTCCTAACCCTTCCCACAGGTCAACTGTAGCTCAAGGTCGTCTCATTGCCCGCGTGTGAAGAGCATGGGAAGGGTGAGGGGGCAAGGCAGACCACAGCAGAATTCAGAGAACACCAGAGAGGGAGCATCACTCCCAGGGGAAAGCGGCTTCTGCTTCAGCTCCATCACTGGATGGAAACACTGTCCTCCAGTGACACTCAGTTCATTTCTTGCAAGCACTGGAGAATGCTGCCGAACATGAAGATAAGAAGCCCCATCCCTGCACCAGACACTGCCCCATCCCTACTAAACAAACAAGAAGGACCCAGCCTTGGTAAACACACAGGCCTGCACAATACTCATGACTGAGGTCCTGTGTCCCACTGTGAGGGCAGGGACCACGCAGACACCAAAGATCAAGGCTTGGATTGGGGTGTATTAAGACTGAGGGCAAATCCTCTCACTTCTATGCCCATACTGAGGGTCACAGGGGAGAATGAGAGAGGACACAGCAATGGTGCAGGTGCACTGGACCACTGGGAGCTGGAGAGAGACGATCCCTGGGCTCCAATTCATGTGCAGAGTATAGACCAAAGACAAATAGAGAAAGCTAAGGAGAGGCCCATCACTATTCTCAAGACCTCAGAGCCTCTTCTGCAGGCAGGAGTCACTTTCCTGGGCCTCACTATTAAGAAGAAAATAGAAAATTGTTTTACACATGCAAACAATAAAGAGAAACAAGAAATAAGGAACTCTTCAACAGAACTTAGCCCCGCCATGCCATGGTCCTGGCTATATGTTCACAGGGTCTGACTTAAAAGTATTTCTGGGACAATAAGACATTTCCACAAGTTTGGTCTTTAGTAGTGCCACAGCACTGTAAGGCCACAGTGCTTTGAAGACACAGCTTAGCACTATGGGGATGTGGGGCTACAGGGGTTGAACACAGTGGCAAAGCAACAGACACACAGACAGCACAACCCAGGAGTCATCTAAGGATGCCACTAAGTGTCAGGATACTGGCAGCTGTTTCCTGTTACAGACACCAAGCATCTTGATAAGGAGGGCCTCAGCCTTCCATCCAACACACACCACTCCTACTGCACCAGGCTCCCTAAGAAAACACGGCACTTTGTACAAGTCACTGAGACACAAGCCTAAGCCTGAGAGGACATCACCCCACATGGGAGCACTGGGGACTCTTGTGTCAAGGCAGCCATCCTTGGGCAGAGAGAACACACACACCTAGTTCCCTCTTCACTTTCTTGAATTTTCTGACATCTCAAAGTGCTGCAGTGGGCCTTACAGTTAGCAAGGCATCGACATACCACACAATCATCAGCAGACTTACATTTCCAGAACAGGCTCCCTTACCTTTCCCAGGACTAAGATTCTGGTCTATAAAGACCTTTAGTTCTCCGTTGGCTTCAATTAGACTGGCCTGCAGAGAGTAACAACAACAACAACAGTGAATACAACATCAGAGCCACACAGCCAAAGTTGTTAAACACACCGGGCCTAAGTTACACATAAGGGCAGAGCTGCCACTGCACAGCAGCAGGAGCCCCACAGCTACACGGCTCCCAGTGGCCACCATGGCTGGGAACAGTGTGACTTGCAAATCCAGTCATAAAAGCCAGGATGCTGATGGCAGAGGGAAATGGTCACAGGTAATACTTGACAGACAGCACATATCTGATAAAGTCAGCAGAAAGGAATCTTACCAGACTATCACTCTCACCTCTCCAGGAAACCTGGAAAATGTTTATTCCCACCAAGTCTCGACAGGACATCAGGGCTAGGCCTCTCCCAGGGGGAAGCCACCAAAGTAAACTAAGCTGTACGTGGCCACTGACATCCAGAGGTGAGAGGCAGCAATGGAGCCTACGTTCTCATCCCAATACTCTTCCACAAAAGAAAAAGCTGGTGACAGAAGTGAGGTAGAGAACAGTGGCCAAGAAGAGTCCCTCAGGAGGGACCCCAGTCTCCTACAGAACAGGAAAGTGAGCTGTCATAAGCTTCTGGGTACCATGACAGGGCTGTGTGGGTATGGCTAGGCTGGAAGGCTGAACAAAGTCACGTGGCAGCACAGTTACAGAGGGGAGCACCAGGACTAAGAGTAAGGACAGCGGGGTTCTATAAGGCCGGGTAAGTGAAGACAAGAGGTAGGTTAACAAAGGGAGGAACTAAATAAACCCAGACATGTAAACCCAAGTTTAAACCTAGGAATTAAGATAACACCAGGAAAACCTAAGATACTGAAGTCGGGTAGGTAAGGCCGGTAGGCAGGGCCTGGTAACGCCATGGAGCTCAGGGAGGAATTTAATTCAAGAAATGAGCAAGGATGGGACTTGGTGACAACATGAGCCCAGTGGGTAGAACTGTGAGGTGAACCGGGTGGAGAAGAACCCATTGTAGGCTGACAGGGAATGCTAGCGGTCCACAGCTGACAGGCTGTGCTGCAGTGTGTGAGGAGCTGCTTCCAGCCATGTTCACCAGCCCAGGCTCCAACTCTAGTACTACCAAAATGAAAAACAACTCTAGGTACAAGGGCCACTGGGAGGCCCAGGCTGGGAAGGAAGGCCAGTAGAGTAAATCCAGGAGATTAGGAACACAGCAGGCAGGTGAGGCCCCCTAGCCCAGGGCAAAGGAAGATCAGGAGGGTAAAACCCACTGATGGGCATGACGTTACAGCAGGATGGTGAGGCCTGCGGGCGTAATGGCAAGAGAATGAGGCCTTGTCTGTAGGTTCACAACTCAAGAGCCAGGAAAGAAAGAACAGTAGGCAGGCTAAGATGTCTACAGCCAATGAGTAAGTAAACCCAGGGAAATGCCATAGAGGCCGAGGCCACAGAGATTAGGGCCAGGTTGGCACAGCCAGGTGGGTAAACCAGGATGTTAAGGCTGAGCGGAGAAGGCCAGCAGAGAGGTAAGACTGATTAGTACAGCCCAGCAAGAAACTGCAGGGAAATCTGTGCTAAGAACAAGAAGTTCTGAATGCCAAAGCCGACCACATCAGGCAGGCTAAACAGAGGCAGGCTTGGAAGCTAACACCAGGTGGGCCGGGCCAGGAGGAAGAAAATTCTAGGAGGTAAAGGCCAAGCCCCCAGGGCCAGTGAGTAACGTATACGGAATACCAGGTCAGCCCAGGCAGATACAGCCTGGAGATTTGGAACAGGTCTAGTGACCCTGAGTCCTAGTTTCAGCAATTATAGCTCAAAGCAGTATTCATTTCCCAGGCTCCCTCAGCACCATGGGCTTAGGAGGGGGTGGGGTTCCTGGTACAGTCACCACACACCATTACTCCTATCTCTGCTTCCATGTGTCACAGCTGGCTGGATCTGAACAAGTAGGATAGACTCACCCTCATGCTGGTCAAGTAGGTGGACAGCATTACCCAGCTTTGTCATTCTCTGTCATCTAATGACTACACTGCCCAACTTCCCCACACACAGCTTTTATGTTCTACAGAGAGCTGCACTCTAAAGTCAGCTACTTCTTTGCAAGTATCCTTCCTGACCACTAGCTGCCCATCATGCAGCACAGGGCAGGGCACACTGGGGCGCGCCTGGGAGAGAGCAGCATTTGCTTTCACTGGCAGAAAAGACAAATGTGGACAGTATGGACCGAATCACCTCTCCTTGTCCATTAGAGATCTACCTCAATGGAACCCGAGTCCACCACAGGAGAACTGCCCAGGAACACAGCAGCTAAAAGACAACCCAGTGCAGGGATTTAGTACCGCGCCATGTCTGTAAGTTTCATTATGTTACCACTCACAGAAACTAGTTTGACATCCGCCACAATAAGGATCACCTCCTGGAGGCAAACTCAGGAGACAAGCTACCCAGGAAGTTCCTCAGCTATGCTATGCTCCGCCTCCTTATCAGGCTACACTCAGTCTTGACAGGAACCCACCATCCCAGCCAGCTGTGGATGTGCTTCACTGCAGGGAGACAGCTAGAGACTCAGACGGTCTGCTTAACCATCCGTCTGACCCCAACAGGGTTGTTCCCTCAAAATCAGCCTTCTTCCTAAAACTGGCCTTATGGAGCTCACTGGCCAGGAATAGCCTGCAGACCTGTGCAGGGTCAACTATGTAGTGAACAGACAGACTTTCTCCACAAGTCTCAGTTTGGTGCCATCAAGCTCAAAGGTAATCAAGAAGCAATGGGCCAAGCAAGATAAAGGAAGGAAAAAAAGGGAAAGCCATGAAGCCACAGGACTGCCAAACTTAAGTCTGTCCCCCACCAATCCAGCCACGTCTGCACACAAGAGTAACTGTATCCCCCAAATCCCAAGTAACCCCCCCATGATGCCCCGCTGTTTCTGTCACTCCCTGTCACTCACTAACCTGCCAGTTGTACCTCCCAGCATGACAAACAAAAGTATCTCTAGATTGCAAAACTGCCCTCAGTTGAGAACCACTGTCTTTTGGGCATGATTTCATGACAATGCTTCAAACAGAGCTGCCTTCCAGAGCCGGCAATAAATACACAGCTTTATCCTTAGCCCCTTTTCAAGTAGGGGCCTGAGATCAGTAGATAAAATCTGACCCAAAAAACCCAGCGGAAGGCTCCTGGAGCCAGCTAAGGCCTACCACAGCTTGTCCCGGTGTTTCATGGGCAGAGGCCACTCTTTCATAACACATAGATGTCAACAGCAAAAAGGAAACGCAAGCTCTCCTGTCCATAAAGGAAACTAGAAAACAAAACCACTGGAGGCTGCCTTCATAGAGATCTTCAGACCAGCACCAGTCTCTGTCTAGCTGACACTAGAGGACTGCAGCCTTCTGTAGAGACCTGACCAGGCCAGAAGGCTTGCTACGTTTAAAGCGGTACCCTAGAGCAGAGTGTGCAGTGGAAGACAACCTCTTAGAAGAATCTGCTACAGTCTAAATGTCTGCCTCCCACAGGACATTTAGGAAATCATGAAGCCGAGGGACAGAGCCTTTGTGATAAGATTAGGGCCTGGCAAGAGGCACCCAAAGAGCTGCTGCCCTTCCACCATGTGGGGACACAGCACAGAGAGACCAAAAGAGCATTGCTTCCTAGGAGAAAAAGCAGCCATGAGCCACTGCTAACTAAGCACCAAATCTGCCTTTGATCTTGAGCTTGCAAGGAGATTCCATTGTATCTTTATTACAGTAGCTCAAATGGACGGGAACAGATGTCTCCAGCCTCCTAGCCTGACTGAACTGAACTCTATAGCACAGGCAACTGAAATGCTAGTAAAACCTTTGCAGTCAGCATGTTCTCTCTGAGAAGCAGGGGAGATTCCTGTCACAGAAGTAAGCAAGACTCCAGACAGTTTTAAATCTGTACAGTGCTCAATCACACGGTAGACGTTCCTAGTCACAACAGTCAATCCCGACCTACATACAGAGGCACAAGACCATAGATGTATGGACACCGCTACCTTCAGCTACTCTGTTCTGAGGATGTCTGTCACATAGCACCAGGTGACTAACCGTAGCCAAGTGTCCATTGAGCATACTCTAAAAGGACCTGAACGAGCCTGGGTTTACATAGGGGATGACGTTGCACACCACAGCTCTGGAATTCTATGACCAGAATGCACAGTTACACTCATGTGCACATACACTCGAGCTGCACCCACCCTGCCTGGAGGTGATTACAAAGGATAGTGAACCAGATGGACTGGCCAATGGTAAGGACAACAAGAGCCCACAGAGAGCAGAAACCATCCTCAGCCTTCCCTGGAACAGTCACTGATGCAGATTCAACCCAGCAGGGGGACCATGACAGTGCCACACAGTACAACAGCAGGAGTGGCTGCTATGTGAGCCATAACCTTCGTTGTCACTCTTGACTCTAGGGGGAAGGACAGCATAGAGAAGACCTGCAGCTCTCCTCCCCTCCCAAACTAGGGCCACAGTGGAACACTGAGAGGAGGCCAGGGTCACCCCAGGTCCACCCAAGGCTGTAAAGTTGTGGCTGGTCAGTGCCCATGATTCACAGGATCCTCAGCAGCACCTCCACCTCTGCCCTCTTCCTACTAGTCCACTAGGCATCAAAGTAACTACACTAGACTTTGCTCCCCTGTAACTCCTTTAAGCTGGAGAGCCCAGCCAACTTCCAGGGAGAGAGCATTAACTTTTCTTTAAAAACAAAAAACAAAACAAAAAACCTGCTGACACTGGCTGGTTTCTTCTATCCCCCTCTAGGCAGGCCTGTAGTATAAACAACAGCAGCAGATGACAATGACCACAGAGACCGTGGTGACCACAACCAGCCCTTCCAGAGAACAATGATAGACAGTCAACTCCCCAAGAGCAAGCATCAGAGACCTATGCACTATTCTGTTCATTTAGCAAATCTTGCTGGTGCTTACCAATAGCCAGCTTTCACAAACATGACAGCACCAGCCTCAATGACAGCCCAGAGTGGTCACCACCAGTGACCACAATCACAGCCCACA